ATCAAAGAGAGTTCGCCGGACGAGCTCCTCCGCTGAAGCTGTGACGCGGGCCACGGTAGGAGCGAGATTGCTCAAGACGAGTCATCCTCTCGTTGAGCTGGCGAACGTCATCTCGGATGCACGTGAGAGTATCGAAGATCTTCTTCACCCAAGATGGTTCCGGTGCTTCTTCTCTCGGACGAGTCCTCCGTTGACGAGTAACGCGCTCCGTGGCTCGACTACCTCCGGCTTGAGATGACTCAGCTTGATTCTTGTTTTGGCTTTCTTCTTCTTCTTCGGCGACTATCAAGTCCAGATTTGGTGCAACATCGCCCTCCTCTCGATACACGATCCGGGAAAACTTGGCTTCAGTGATGAAACACGTCTTCTTGACCGGTACCTGAGTGTCCTGAGTAAAGTCTATTTTGCAATGAGCAAGGATATGCATAATGGGGATGGGAAAACGTAGATGGGAAAAACGAGTGCCATCGCTAAGTGCAACGATAAAGAAGTGAACCCAATCAAATTTGACATCGTTCAATAGGACGTGAAACAAACGAATATCGTCCTTGTTGACGACGCCATGGTTCGAATCACGGGGCAACAAAACATATGAGAAGATGTATTGTTGGACGCGTTGAATCAAAGTGAGATTAATGACACTCGGGTTACTAGAGTTTCTAAACTTGAGGTCACGATGATCTAACCCGAGTTGTCGCCATATTGCCTCATCTTGGAATGTTTCATCCAAGTTTTCGGTAATATCACCGCGACGAAGGCCAAACAAAGAAGTCAAACCGGCACCGTCAATGAAAACGATTTTGCCGTCAACATAGGAAATGAGAGATGGCGAACTTCCCTTAGTGGTACGAAGATTTGCATAAAATTGACGTATAAGATTTGGACAGAAAAATTCATACGTCAAATGAATGAAACGAAGCAAGCCTTGCTGAAGGAATATAGACTTACTCGGGGCATAGGTCGCCGATTTGAAGAGGTCCTTGCTCACGATCTTGGGAGAGACGATCTCCTTCGTGAGGAAGATGTTGTGGAACCTCTCAACTGAAGCCCCAGTGTTGAAGGCGAGACCCGTTTGAATGTGAATGTACTTGCTCCCTTCACGACGCCATGGCCTCTCATTCTCCTCTGCCGCCGTTTCTTGACCCGAGGAAGCGTTCTTACACCTTGGCATTCTTCCTTTTTG